TACGTCAATAAAATCATTCGGAAGGTCATAAGACCACTTTGCCTCTTGAGCAATATCATAAAGTAACATTTTTTCAACTTTCATATTTTTCTGAGACCCATAAACAGATGATAAGAAATTATGACACATGAGAATTAAAGAACATAGATATTTCTATTACTTCTATGAGTAGAGTCACTTATGGAATTTGTGCATTTGCACGTTTCGTTCATATCGTATGGATCATGCCAAAAGAAAGAAGAGGTTAGCCTTAACATACCTGAATCTTGGTATGTCCTCAATCTTCGTATACGAGTCCATGCACCACAAAAACGCATGTCCCAATAACTATTACGATGATCCAGTAAGCACTTACAATCCTAGATAATATCATTGAGACATATGATGATATATAATTTGGCATATCAACAACTTCGTGCAGCATCCAAGATTTGTTAAATGCTCCCTTATCCATAAGGAACATCTTTAGATCCCTTCCAGCTACAATTTCCGTCAGAACTACAAAGGCACGGTTGATCTCATTCCTAAGACTAGTGGCAAACTCCAATACAGGTTTCTCGGGGATGTGAACCTTCGGAATGTGTGGTGCAGATTTGTGAATGAAGGCGCTAGCGTTGCTCCACAAAAAAATCCAGCCAGAGCAACTTATCAAACCATGACAGAGCAAGGTAAGGAAATGGTATTCTACTACGTCAAAGAGAACCCAAGCCAAAGTGTCATAGCAAATATTAGCTTGCATCTTCTGATGGAAGTGAATATTACTATGTAAATAATGTTAAGTTGCCACATAATCCCAAGTGACTAAGAGTCACTTGTTTGGGAAAATGGCTTGCTGCCACGTAAACCCCCTCGTTGGGAATTTAAACTTTATCCAATAATTAATTAGGCAGTATCCCGCTACTCGGTAATTAACCAATTACTCGCATAATTAAGAATTATTTCAAATTACTTAAATTCTATTTATTTTTAATACACTTTATACATCCTACTATCATGGTCATGTGATACCTTATATGGCACTAGTCCATAAATACTGGGTATTTTAGCTCGGACCGTATTTTACCCCAACATGCCAAACTTCGACAAAATTCATTTTCTTCGATATTACTTACCCTCTTACCTTCACGAATTTACTTATTACTTGTTTGAAATAGCATAATCCTTATAATCTCCGAATAATCTTTTTCTTGGACTGATGTCAATTACCTTACGACAAATTTCACGTACAATACTACAGGGTGCAACATCATCGTAACGTAGTACTGCGGAATGTTACATCTCACTTCCAGGCTCTCATTAATTTATTTATTGCATATTTTCATGTATGAAAATATGGGGTGTAACATCATTCCCCCCTTTGGAACATTCGTCCTCGAATGTTGATTGATGCGCTTATCGTTCTCTTATCACACAACTCTTTAGAGTACTTTAGTAGTCCTCTTGCCATCTAGGCAAATATTCTGTGAATAAGTCCAAAGGCCAGGGCATTCCCCCCTTAGGCCTCTTCCCTATGCCATGACTTGTGATCGAATTTCTTTCAATCTCGTAACTGTTGCTATCTTCCATCATGCAGCTTCTACGATACTGACCTTGTAAGTGTGCCTATGCGACTCTCCTCTCCTTTTTCCTCTAGTTTTTAGCCAATCCTGAAATTCTTCGCTTGGTATTTTGTCGAACTTACGAATATTTCTCTATCTTATTTTATAGACCTTGTTATCCATTCGTATAACTTTACTGCATCTACATTGGTCATACTATACCATAACTCTTACCTCAATTCTCATTACTGAGGTTTGCTACCAATTCCCAGGTTACTTTTGTTGCTTATCCCATACGTATAAATCTATGTTCTCTAATGCTTCCACATTACTATTCATCTTAAGAATGACGGCCTAATCTCCTCTCATACTTTATAACTTTTATCCATCCATTGTTGATTCACCTTAATTTTGATCCATAATCCACCCCTGATAACTTAACCTTTTGTGTAATATTGTTACTAGGATTCACGTTTTATCGGTGAACGTCTAAAATAATTAGATTGATCCACCTGGGCCGATACCCTGCTTCCATAACCGTACCTAACAGCATCCCAATGCGATTCACCTTGCGTGGGTACTTTAATCCTGTCCAATTCATAAGATCCATTTCTTTTCTTTGCTGAATCATTACTCAATTGAAGGCCCAAACGTCATCTTTTATCTATCACAATTACACCCTCATTCTATTACTAGGGTGGCATTCTAAATGCTATTAGTCTTAGACTCTTTTGAGTTCATTCAGGCTATAGTGAGCTTTGTATAATTTAGAGAAACTATCTGCTCTTCTTATTTTCATGGGCTTAATCTTGAGGACTTATCCATTTTCGTTACCTTCTCACTCGCCCGTTCTTATCCTTACTCTTGTCTTCTAGAACCTTGTCGCTTCATCATACAATGGTTTGCGACCTACATAACTCTATTTATATTACTTGTAACTTTTCAACTTGCTATCATAGATTTTCCTTATGTCATTTTGGAACGTCAAGAGAGACATCGCATCATCTCTGACTCTTCTTTACTCTCTTAGTCAGGCTTTTCTATAACTAGACCATAGGCTGGAAGATATGCTAATGACGATGCTGCTATTATTCCTGGATACTGAATCCCCATGTTTCTAGCCCCTTTTCCGCAATATGGATTATTCATAACCTTTTGTATTTGAGTATCTTATACATTGTTCACCTTTACCTTACTTACCTTAAAATCTCGCATCATATCTTCTATCTCTTTCCTGACCTCCCTTCCACCTAGGTGTAATTTCCGTCCATAACTTAAAGATCCATTATAATACTCGTACCTCTGGTACATACACAATCCGGTAGGAGCTTCGTACTGACTTCTTATGAGGCTGGTACTTCTTTTAACTGGTTTCTTGGTAGAGCCATTGTAGATAATGGTTGTTGTACTATTTCTCTTGAACATCTGATACTAAGAGTGATTCTATCCTGTTCTCAAGCACAACTTCTATAATTTTTCTAGGTCCAATAATCAGACTCCTGATTTACTTGAGTGATGTAATTCTTTAGCTTCCTCTTCCTTCTGATCAGCCTTTACGTAGGCTTAAGCTATCTTCCGATCTGTAGTTCATGGTATCAGTTATTACCTTAGCCTTTCATGGGCGTTATGGAGTATCCATGATACAATCTTCTAACAATTCAATCCTTTGTCTATGTCCTGGACTAAATTCTTCTTTTTAACTTATACCGAAGTCTTCTATAGCTGTATGATTGTTAACAAATATAATGCTCCAAAATCTTGAGTGTATCCATAACGTACTAACTCTGGATCATTGATCGAATAATTCCTTTCGTTCCATCTCACCTTTCTTTAAACGTGTGCAATTACTTTTCCTGGTCTTTCTACCCCTTGTTGCATGCATACTTAACTCATCTTAGTTCCCACATATGCCCGAATTTTTGTGCAACTCATATAGTCTCGAATATTACCTTCGGTCTTTCTCCCTGTTCATTAGCCACGGTAGGTGCCACTTTCTTTTGGAGGGCATACAATTTTCTTGGTATGAGACTGCTTTTACATGACCATTTCTTCATTAGGTCATTGTGCTTAGGTTGAAGCCTTCTTCCTCATTTCCTCGGCTAGTCCTTCATTGTAGTACTTAGGGAGGATCCTCTAACTCTTGTAAATATGCGAGCTTGTTATATCGTGTACTCGACAGACCTTTTGATGTCCTTCCTTGCCTATACTTATCCGTAGTTACTTATATCCACGCCCTTGTACTTGTGGGGTTGCGTCTGGACTGATATTTTGACTGTCTTCCTAGTGGCACTCTCTTTTATTTTTGTAATACTCATACAGTACCTTTTTAACTTCTCCAACTCCTATATGAATATATCTCAAGTATTACAATGTCATAACTACGGGGCAGAATTTTCCATGTTGGGGTTTACTACATTTATCTTGCATGATCTGCTGATTTGTCCGTAACTTCTTGTCTAGTCGTGACTAGGCTTCCCGAATCAACTACTAACTACTCGTTGGCCCATTCTCATGTCAATATCCCACAAAATCTTTCTTGGGTTATTTCCTTTGTCTTAACTTATGTCTCGCACTGACTCCTTTTATATCAATAACATCTCTGGCAGGGATACTTACTTCCTCTCATTGATGTCGTATTTGCATAATGTTCTAGAATTGTAGCATATACGTAGGATCTGAATAAGTGTAATCTCATTCCTTTTTCATGTTTACCGCATTCTTCATTCATTACTCCATATTCCCCTCTTTAGGGGAGTACTAAGACTTGGAGCTATGACGATCTGCCTACAGATGTTTTTCCTCTTCATCTTTGGCGTCCTTTCACATTATCAATGATACATACTCGCCTTGCGGCAATCCTTCTGTACCAAGGAAGACAAATCTCCTTACTCGCGAGGGTGACACTTAATGTAACTGGTACATACAATCCCTTAAGCTTAACTTTGCTAACATTGCTTGCTTTAGGGAAGCGTCTTCCTGAATCACCATTCTCTGAACTTCTCATGAACCTTTTTCTGTCGTCCGTCCTATCATTGCCGGAATGCGATATGAAATTCTCATGATGCTGACTATTACCAAATTACTCAGCCTCTAATTCATATTTAGTTTATCTTATTCACCAGCCCATACTAATTTCTATTACTCTGGGGTCTAACTTTTCCTCTTAGTAATCGCTCTAGAGTTGCGGACTTATTTCTCGAAATGAGGACATGACTGTATAGCCTATACTCTTTTGTTGTCCTAAGGCCTGTCATCCCTCGTCTCTTCTTTCACTTGACTATAGATTTTTGTAATATTGCCATCTTTTGATCTGCCATTGTCATCCATGTACCACATCTTACTCATAATGCATCATTAACTCTTTTCTTATTTCCCGCTAACATTTATGCCTATCACTTTATTTTGAAAACTCGAACAAGACATTCTTTTTCTTTTAGCTTCCCTTTGCTCACTTCCGTGGCTCTTCAAGTTGCTTAACGTTCTCGCTTTACTAGGGACGCGAGCTACACTAAGGTAATATGTATCCCTTCAAGGCTTATAGTGCATGTCTTTGTGGTACTCATATCTGGCTGCACTATTTTAAAGTGTACTAACTGGGTTTCTCACAAGGAGATCTACTAGCACATTTGCAATATCATTCGGAAATGTTAATTGTCACAACAATTAATCCATCATCTTCTTATACTACTTCTATTAACCCCTATAGGGCATATCTGGAATAGGTGCGACCAATTGTAGATACCTCTGTTACTGTTTAATATGACTCAAAAAGCTTATGTTCCTCTACCTGAATTATAAACACTATTAACCTTCATTAACTGGGCACCTCGTATCCTTCTTCATCTTGCTTCTTTTGCTTGTTGAAACTTGTATTTATCTTGTGAATCTCTCATTGTCTTTTACCATAAAGATGGACATGCATTCTTGACTTAAGGTTTCTTATCAGGAAGCTTACACCTTTCAGTACACCCATGATCTGCTAAAGACCTCACATTTACTTATCGTAGGCATCATACAAAAATCCAATTCCTCTGACTCAGCTCTTTCTCAACTATCTCTCTTTCCAACCTTCTTTTCGGATGTAGGTATCGTCTTATTACGAATGAAATAGAATTTCGGAGTTTGAATTCTTATAAGTGAGCTCTACCACACGATCTAGAGTAAGAAGAAAGAGTGACAATCCTAAATGCCCTGTAGCCTCCTGCTTATAAGTGTGGTGCACGGCACACCCATAAACAAGACTCTACTAGACACGACTTGTAGACTCCCTAGGACAGAAGTGCTCTGATACCACTTTTGTCACGACCCAAACCGATGGGCCGGGATGGGTACCCGATACCTTACTCAATTGAGTACCAACGTAACGTATCTTTCTTAATACAACATCATATACACATGCATACGTGCCTAATAGGCCAACATGATCCTTTATAAACTCAAAATATATGTCGACAAGGCCGTACAATCTTTTATGTACACGACATATGTCTACAAGCCTCTAAGAATACATAAATGTCATAAGGGTCGAGACAGAGTCCCGCCATACCAAACAATACACGTCTAAATCATACTAACCAAACGAGCAACTCCGAAGCAAATGGAGCGCACCAACATCTTTCGCTGAGCTGATAGCCTACTTGGAGGGTTCTCGACCTATCTATCGGGATCTGCGGGCATGAAACGCAACGTCCCCAGGTNTCGTTCATATCGTATGGATCATGCCAAAAGAAAGAAGAGGTTAGCCTTAACATACCTGAATCTTAGTATGTCCTCAATCTTCGTATACGAGTCCATGCACCACAAAAACGCATGTCCCAATAACTATTACGATGATCCAGTAAGAACTTACAATCCTAGATAATATCATTGAGACATATGATGATATATAATTTGGCATATCAACAACTTCGTGTAGCATCCAAGATTTGTTAAATGCACGNATCATTGAGATATATGATGATATATAATTTGGCATATCAACAACTTCGTGCAGCATCCAAGATTTGTTAAATGATCCCTTATCCATAAGGAACATCTTTAGATCCCTTCCAGCTACAATTTCCGTCAGAACTACAAAGGCACGGTTGATCTCATTCCTAAGACCAGTGGCAAACTCCAATACAGGTTTCTCGGGGATGTGAACTTTCGGAATGTGTGGTGCAGATTTGTGAATGAAGGCGCTAGCGTTGCTCCACAAAAAAATCCAGCCAGAGCAACTTATCAAACCATGACAGAGCAAGGTAAGGAAATGGTATTCTACTACGTCAAAGAGAACCCAAGCCAAAGTGTCATAGCAAATATTAGCTTGCATCTTCTGATGGAAGTGAATATTACTATGTAAATAATGTTAAGTTGCCACATAATCCCAAGTGACTAAGAGTCACTTGTTTGGGAAAATGGCTTGCTGCCACGTAAACCCCCTCGTTGGGAATTTAAACTTTATCCAATAATTAATTAGGCAGTATCCCGCTACTCGGTAATTAACCAATTACTCGCATAATTAAGAATTGTTTCAAATTACTTAAATTCTATTTATTTTTAATACACTTTATACATCCTACTATCATGGTCATGTGATACCTTATACGACACTAGTCCATAAATACTGGGTATTTTAGCTCGGACCGTATTTTACCCCAACATGCCAAACTTCGACAAAATTCGTTTTCTTCGATATAACTTACCCTCTTACCTTCACGAATTTACTTATTACTTATTTGAAATAGCATAATCCTTATAATCTTCGAATAATCTTTTCCTTGGACTGATGTCAATTACCTTACGACAAATTTCACGTACAACACTACAGGGTGCAACATCGTCGTAACGTAGTACTGCGGAATGTGATATCTCACTTCCAGGCCCTCATTAATTTATTTATGGCATATTTTCATGTATAAAAATATGGGGTGTAACATAGATAAGGGGTTCATTCGGCCTAACTTGTCCCCGTGGGGTGCACCTGTTTTATTTGTAAAGAAGAAAGATGGCACAATGAGAATGTGCATTGATTATAGGCAGTTGAATAAGGTAACAATGAAGAACAAGTATCATTTGCCTCGTATTGATGACTTATTTGATCATCTTCACAGAGCGAGGGTATTTTCTAAGATTGATCTCCGTTCGGGCTATCACCGGTTGAAAATCAGGGAGTCGGATATTCCGAAGACTGCTTTCAGGACTAGATATGGTCACTATGAATTTTTGGTTATGTCTTTCGGGCTGACCAATGCCCCAACAGCGTTCATGCATTTGATGAACAGTGTATTTCAGCCTTATCTGGATGCATTTGTTATTGTATTCATTGATGATATCCTGGTGTACTCGCGTAGCCAGGAGGAGCATGCCCAGCATTTGCGTGTAGTGTTGCAGAGATTGAGAGAGAAGAAGCTTTATGCAAAATTCTCCAAATGTGAATTTTGGCTAAGTTCTGTGGCATTTTTGGGACACATAGTGTCCATCGAGGGTATACATGTTGATCCAAGGAAGATAGAAGCAGTGCAGAGTTGGTCTAGACCGTCCTCAGTCACAGAGATTCGGAGTTTTCTTGGGCTAGCAGGCTATTATCGCCGATTTGTTCAGGGGTTTTCTTCTATTGCATTGCCTTTGACCAAGTTAACTCAGAAAGGTGCCCCATATGTATGGTCTGGCGAGTGTGAGGAGAGCTTTCAGAAGCTCAAGGCACTTCTGACCACAGCTCCAGTGTTGGGGTTACCATTAGTTATAGGTTCATACACGGTATATTGTGATGCTTTCAGAGTTGGGATTGGTTGTGTGCTAATACAGGAGGGTAGAGTTATTGCTTATGCTTCTCGTCAGTTGAAGCCCCATGAGAAGAACTACCCTGTTCATGATTTGGAGTTGGCTGCTATAGTTCATGCCTTAAAAATTTGGAGGCACTATTTATATGGCGTATCTTGTGAGGTATTCACTGATCATCGCAGTCTTCAGCATTTATTTAAACAAAAAGATCTTAATTTGAGGCAGCGGAGATGGCTTGAGTTACTTAAAGACTATGATATTACCATTCTATATCATCCGGGAAAGGCCAACGTAGTGGCCGATGCGTTGAGCCAAAAGGCAGTCAGTATGGGGAGTTTAGCTTACATCCCAGTTGGGGAGAGGCCTCTTGTAGTTGATGTTCAGACCTTGGCCAATCAGTTG